CCGTCTTGGGTGTCCCTGCATGGCATAGCCCATAGCTTCCCTTCGCCACAACAAGGCAGCAATCCATGAAGAGGGCACAAGCTCTAATAAACTCTAATAAACTTTTACAGTTGAAATGTCCTCTGCAGGAGCCATAAAACTCCATTTCATCTATGACTGGATTTTGACATACAGTACTTTTGTTCTTTTGGGCTTGAGAATTATTCCTGTCAGAGGATCCTTTCTGATTTGGAGGGGATGGGTCCTCTCTGGAGAGATCAGAATCATTCTCTGGTGCCTTTGGGGAGGGGCTGCTAACTGGGGCCTAAAACTCATTGTCCACCTCCAATCTTTACAGGAGGGGCACATCCTGGTGGCTTTTGTCTTCAGGGAGAAATCCCTGAAGGTGAGGCAGGACAGCAGATTAACTGGGCTAGTTACTATGTATGACTTTGCTTTTCAAGGGATGTGAAATTTTGTCTGAATTTGTGCTCTGAGGGTTGATGCATCCAGTTACTCCACTGAACGTTAGTAAGTTGCCATCTCCCATTGACAGGATAGGATGCCACCTAAGAAACTCATGTCCAGTGCTATAAGTTTTGTGATGGAAGAAGTGGTATATCAGTGTTCTAAATACAGTAAAACAATGGAGAGTCATATTAAAGTATCACTTGGAAGAATTCTGTCTTAAGGACAGTCAAACCTGCTCACCTATGACACACCCAAATGAATTATCCTATTTATTCTGTGTTCAGTATTTTAAGTAATAGAAGGTCAGAAATGATGCTTCTGGACTTTCTGGTTTAACCCATAGTAAATTGGTACGGACAGTCTATCATGGCTGCCTCAATCCAAAGCACAATGGAAATGGACAGGATATGTGCAACAGGTGGGGGTATACGTGACCCCTAATATAAAACGGGTGAAAACATGAACTAGCAAGCATTCGGGTCTATGGAGGCCGGGCAGTCCCCCCCTTTTTTTTTCTTAGGAGCCTCCTGTGTTCAGATATCTGTGCAACACAAACTGAAAGTCGTGCGTACGGAAGGTGTCCATTTCCCCCATGACTTTTCTGACATTCCCTTTCTCCCCGAAACCCAGTCTTGGAAACGAGCTGGACGGGGAAGCCTCGGCCACAAAGGTTCGATTCCTTCCCAGCGAGGAAATTTAAATCGGGCGCCGCCTTTTTTTGCGGTGCAAGGCGCCGCGGTGACCAGAGGACGTCGCCCTCCCTCTCTCTCTCTCTCTCCCTCCTCAAGGCCCCGCTTGCTTCCCGACTCGGCTTCGGGAGGAGGGAGAGGCGGCGGCTGAGATTGTCGCCGCCGCCGCCGCCAGAGGCCGGAATTATTTCCTGGGGAAAGCGCAGCAGGCTGGGAAAGCATTTCCGGAAGGTTGGCTTCATCCCGCAGTTGGGCTTGGAGGCGTCTGGCGCGGGTGGCGGCGGCGGCGGCAGGCGGGAGACGGAAGAGACGAGGAACGGGAAAGAGGCGCCCGGTGGCGGCGTGAGGCGCAGAGCGGGGCGCGGGCGGGTAAGTCGGACCCCGGGCGGGAGCCTCCCTCCCCGCCGCTTCCTGCCTGGGCGAATCCATTCCCCCGAGGCAGGGCGAGGGAAGCAGGCAGGCAGGCAGGCAGGCAGGCGCTCCTCCGCTTGCAACGCCAGGAGAGGCACCTCTGTCTCTGCCAGCTGCCACATCTGCAGCCGCGGTGCCGGCTCCGAAAGGACGTGGCGGCCGCCGCCCCATGGCGGGGGCCGGGG